GGACACAAAATACTTTCAGTTACAAAACCTTTTCTGTTCCTCAGTTAAATCTTTTTAAAATCCTGTGATGAAATTTTGGAAATTTATGCAAAATAGAGACTAGGACAGTGAAGATCTAGGCACTTAATGTCAATTTGAATATCGCAATTTAAAAATCACTTTAGAACTCTCTTCTCTGGGCCCTCCCTGGGTTGGATGCGAAGCTAAGCTAAGCTGTGGCTGCTTCAGTGCCAGTTCAATCCCTGCACAGGTGGGACCCACATGGCGCGGCAGACCTCCCTTGTCTCTCCTGCGTCTCCCTCAGAAGTGTACTTTGTTCTCCTGCCTGTTCCGCTCCCCACTCTGTCTCTGCTAAGTCCTCTCACGGCCCCTGCCTCTGGCTGTACCCCATTTCTGAATGCATAAATAAGTAAATCTTCTTTTTCTTTAACAGAGAAGAGATCTCTCCACACACACATAGCAGATAAAAAGCACCAAAATTATTTCTCAAGAATTTCCTTGTCAACCCGTTGCTATCTTTGACCGCCATCATAGGGGCGCCTTCTGTGGTAACCTTTTATAAGGAAGCTTTTCAACAGGTGAACACCAGCTGCAGTAGAAATCCATCTCCTCATCAAGCTCATGCTTAGATTGCTCATCTGAAACTCCAATCTGGTAAAATAACGTCTTCTCTCTGCCTGTTCATTTTGAATGGTGCACACCTGAAGCATAGAATGTTTTCAATCAATATTACATCAATAAAAAATAAAAATAATTGAAAAATGCAAGGAGTGCTAGACACAGTCTCTCAGGATTAGGAAGACTAGAAAATTCCTAAATCAAGGCTGAAGTCCCGAATTTCTAATTAGGGGAGTGCACCTCCCCCACCCTCCCCTGGCCCCTCCTTCTTTCAGGAGGGACCTGCAAGTTGACTGGTTTCACCTCCAGGTATTCAAGACATGAGGGGCAGAGTTGCCGATCTGCTGCTGAGCCCCTGCTCCAGGTAAGCAGGGATGTGGCCCATGGGGATGGGGGGACTTGCCCTCCTGGCCAGGTAATCCCAGCTCGTTCTCACCCTGTCCTCGAGGGTACTAATAGCTCTGTGACAGAGCCCCCCTGGTGGTCTGGGGCAAGTGTGGAATCTGGTTGGGGGGGGGGATCGTGGGGGCATGTTTGCCGAAGTGAAGGGATGTTGAGTTAAGCGCTGGTATCGCCAATTCTCAGGCCTTTTATGGCCAAAGCATCCTTAACCTAACCAGTGAGCCCTTCTTTCAGTTCAGAAGTTGTTTACCCAAAGCCACAGAGTTTATAAACGAGCTTTAGGAATCTAACTCTGCAAATACTTCATTAGTCCCTGAGTTGCATGCTTAAGGATTAATTATTAAGAGAACACAGTCGTACTGTTTTGATGGTTAAAGGGGAACGCAAATCTCTATGGCAGGGAGATTCAATTTGACTGGGGCGACAGCCCTGTGTGGTCTGAGGGAGGCTGAGGAGATAAGGAAACTGAGGTCAGGACCAGAGCCTTGCTCTCTCCAGGTGAGCTGCATTTGAATGCATTTGACCTTGGGGTCAATTACATCTCCTAACAAAAGCATGGTACCAGCAGTCTGCTTTGAGTACTGTAATACATGAGTGAATAGTAGTTACACCTGTTCTGTAATTGCTCGTGTTTAAAGGCAATTGAAATAAAGATGTTTGTAACTATCTTTTAAAAACAAAAACTGAGGAACATCCTGGGTAAGGTGAAGACAGAACTGGGGCTAAAGCAGCGTAGGGGAAGATACCAGAGGAAAGGGCACAGGATGAAGGGTCCTGTGTGCTTCCTGAAGGTTGTGGAGAAATCTGGGTGCATTCTAATCTGTACCTGTGCACGCAGACAGGAATGGGGGGAGGCAGAACCAGGAGTGGGGGAGATGCTCTCAAATATTAGCCTCAGGTCACACTCCTCTTGCGGGGTCCACAAGTCTGAATTTTGAACAGAACAGCTGTAAAGCAGGCTCTGGATAGATTTGCTAAAAAATGTATTCGACAAAACCTCAGCTGACATAGAGCTTTGTATAGTCTTTTAATTGTTCATTTCGGCTTGCATACAAATGAATTCTGTGCCGTAAATATTACTGTTATATTAGGACTTGCCCAGACCCTTCTGGGGATGTTCACATAATACATCATCTGTGGATCAGATTCATTTTCTAAAATGCAAAAACCGGAATGTTGCAGGCCAGTGGCCTGGGGGAAGTGTAGCTGGCCGCAGCGGGAAGTAGACATGAGAAGCTACCTGCTTTGCTTGGTCTACAATATATTGTGTGCATCTTTCTCTATCAACACTTCTTTCTTTAAACTTTGCTTGAGATTTTCTTGAAGAGAATGTAACACATGCAATTTTTTCAGATGTTATTGACAATAGATATTTCCAATAGTTCTGCCTTCTTGAAGTTCAAACCACTGCTAAAGAGAACATCTGTATACAGTCAAGTTCTCATTTAAGTTAGTCATGTTCCTGTAACTTGATGTCATCTGTTGTTTCTTGGAATCCATGACTTTAAGCACGTTGGCATAATCTAGGGCTTAAGATAGAAAGGAGTCAGAACAAAGCAGTTATACTAAGTAAAAAAAAAAAAAAAGTCATTTCTGATTGACTGGATTAAGCTTCCATTTCTGGGGGAGCTGAAATTAAGTCTTTGTTTGGTTATGTGGGGCTTCCCAAAAGCGATGACTCCATTTCAGATCTGTTTTTTTCCCCTTCAGATAACATTGGTTTACACTGTTGTATTTTAGAATTCTACAATAGGTGTTAGCATAGCACATGCGTTCTGTAAACTACTCAGATTACAAGGGCAAAGCAAAGGCTTTGGAAACATGAGGAGCTATTTCAGTATCACTTTAACAAAAAGCTTCTACTTCACTTCTCTACATCTTTGGGATAGCTACCTCCAAAATAGTCTCATCAATTTTTGTCACCCTAATATAGGAAGTATAGTAAAAGGGCAAAAAATAAGGGTAAACCTTTTCCATTTGTAATCCTTAGGATGTTTCTGCAGTTTTTCATAACTATTTGTTGGAAGTTCAGAAATAACAAAAGCAAAGATGGCTTCTTAAAAAAAAAAAAAAAGCAAACATAACTAGTGAGTAGTAGTAAAGGTTTATTGTACACACACCAAAAAGACAGTTTGCAAACCAGCAGTACTCCAGGTTAGACAGGCGGGGTCAGCAGTGAGGAGGCAGTGGCCCGTCAGTGGTGGTGACCCTTTACCAGTTTGGGGAGCCAGTTTAAGTTTTGCCTGTGGCTTCCAGAGGTCAGGTTATTCTTCTTAACAAAACTAAATGACACTTTGGCTGTATGAATAAAGTGGTTTTGTCTGCTCAGAATTCTCAAGGCTCGTTGTAGTGCCAGGAAGGAGCTGGTCAATGATCCAGGCAGACAGGTAAAGGAGAGGCTTGGAGTCCTCAGAGGCTTTTAATGATCTTTCTACACATTTGTAGAGAGGCAGACAGGTACAGGCCAGGGGAACTGGGTTGGGGTGGGGGGGAAGGCAGGAACAGGCTGGCAGGCCTCCCAGGCCCCAGTGAACTTCACTCTTTCTGGCTCTTTGGCCTGACTTCTGTGGTGATCTGATCTCTCCTGCACCCTACTGCACCCTGCCATGGTCTGATCTCTGCTGCTCCCCTTATAGGCTCCGTCTCTTGACTCAGGTGCACCCACTCATGCGCATGCACCCCCTAATCCAGATGCCACCATCACGCATGTGTTAAGACCACAGGTGTGGATCATTGATGCTAGTGGCGGGAGGGCGGAAAAGGCCTGATCACTTCCGCTTTCCCTACATGGAATGACAGGAAAGAAAACTTGTATTTACACATAGGCTTTTCACAAAGCTATGACATGCAAAGAGCAGCCAGACATTTGAGATTTATACACCATCCTGAGCTGAGGAAGCCGGCTGGTCAGGAAAGCAATTTTGGGTAAAATAAAAGCGAGTGTTTGGTAACCAAAGGTAACCTAGTATGCACATGTCCTAGTTGAGAAAGTCAGCTCTAATTTTCTCTTTCTCCCTGGCACAGGCCCCCTTTCCATGTAAATTTCATTTTTAAGTGCAGTATTCTTACAAATGGGGGAAAGGAAGTAAAATTCCCCAGGTTCCATGAGAGGTGACCAAGGCCAATTTGGAAGGGGCGAATCTCCGTCCCAGAGCTCATGGCCTTCGCAGGTCCCAGCGGGATGAGCAGGAAGAAGACCACCGGCATGGATTGTGGGAACAGACGGGACACAGGAGGAAAGGCACAGAATGCCAGGCTGGGGATGGGGCTGCCCAGGTCTTAGTGGCGGCGGGTAGGACGCCTGAAATAAACCCAGAGGTTACTGCAAAGAAACATCTCTTGCCCACAGCACCCACGTTTTGAGGCACCCATGTTTTGAGGCACCCATGTTTTGAGGCAGTGACTTTTCTGCTGACACGGACGTTGCTCGGCTTGGCTTCACTGTCTCTGAGTTCCCAAAGCTGCAGGGTTGTCGTCGAGCTGAGCTGTGACTGCTGCAGGACTTGGGGAGCTGGAGTTAAAAGATCTGAAGACTCACTGAATTAGATTGCCAGCAGATTAAGGCTTGAAATTTTAGGGTATTTCTATTCACTACAGAACCCAAACCCTCCCCCCCAAGAACTCCCCCCCCTCCCCCTGGCCCAGGCTTTCCTTCCCAGCCTGCTGGCAATGGAGGCGGCCCTGGCCAGCCTCAGGGCAATGGCCAACTGCCCCCTCTGTCTGGATGACTTGAATGACCCCGTCACCATCCACTGTGGACACAACTTCTGTCACAGCTGCATCTGCCCTGCCTGCTACCATCCAGGCCAAGGTGGGCACTGGAGGAGCAACCCCCAGCTGAGAATGATCACTGGCATCGTCAAGTTCCTGCACGAAAGCATGAACAAGAGGAAGAGGCAGGAGGAGACACACCTGTGTGAGGCACCTCCAGGCCCTGAGCCTCTTCTGTGAGGATGACCTGCAGGTGCTGTGCTCCCTGTGTGTTCACTGGCCAGACCACCAGGACCACCATGTGAGGCCCGTGGAGGAGGCTGCCTCCCAGTGCCAGCAGAGGCCCAGCTGGTACCTGGAGGCCCTCCAGCAACTGGCAGGTGCTCAGGAAATCGACTGGCATTCAAAGCTCAAGAAGCTTCGGACTGCGAGAGAAGATGGCAACCCAGAGGTGGAATTAGCCTCTGAATCTGAGCCAGTCTATAGATGTGAGCAAGAGGCAGCTCCCTTTAGGCTGGATGGTGAAAGGACACACCCAAGATACCGAGAAACCGTGGATGGAAACATTGGCGCCTTTCCAATCATCTTTCCGCCCCCCAAACCCCCACCTCTCCTCTCCTGAGTGAGGTGGGAGAGTCTTGTGGCCTCAGGTGGAACTGCTATCACAAACTACAGATGCTGACAAGTCTCCTCCCAACCCCGGTCCTGCAGGTCCGTAAAGAACAGGTTGCGGTTTTCCTCCGCTGTATTGCGCTTTGCAGAAAATGATCAAGAGACATACAAGTAATGCTGCACCTGGAACAGCCCAGCCTAACCTGATCGTCTCTGAGAAAAAAAACTGTAACTTATTTGGGGGCTCAAGATTATTTCCACATATCAAGGCGTTTCATTCACAGTCTTCCTGTAGATTAAGATCTGCAATCAGGACCATGGTAGAAATTTTTTTTTGCTTTTTTGTTTTTTTGCAAAGAGTAAAGTGTTCCTGATTGTTCCAGAAGATTTCCTAGCTGATTTCCAAGCTGTCTTGGCTTTTCTGTATCTTCATTCAGGCAGGTATTTCTGAGTGGGAGACAACCTGCTTGGACCATCTGGACCAGCAAAGACCCATTTCCCAGAACCACTGCGGCCTGTCTTGGGAGTAAGGGGGGTGGGGTATGCTGGGGGACCATGGGGTGAGCTCTCAGAACAGTTTCGAATAATCTCTATATTTTCACAAGACCTTTGGGCCTTATTTCTCCACCTAGCTCCTGATTTCAGATCTTAATCTACAGGAAGACTGTGAATGAAACGCCTTGACATGTGGAAATAATCTTGAGCATTCCCAGATCCCCCCAAATAAGTTACTGTATTAGGAATGTTCTACTTCTGACCAGTGCAGGAACCCTGCATTAACATTCACCGGAGTCCCTGCTGGCTCTCACACAAGACTCCTAGGTGGCTTTGGAAATTCGTTTCTGTGAACTTTGAAGTATAGCATAGAACCCAAAACCACCCAAGAACTATTTCCAACAAATGTAAACTCAAGGCTCTCCTTATATATAGATTAAGAAAAAGAACATCCCAGGAGGAATCTAAGCAAATGACTTGATATATACAGTCAAAGAAGATTTATCAAAGACCAAGAAATACGGGAAAAATTCAACATCAATAGTAGTCAAAGAAATGCAGTTGGAAACAGTAGCTTTTTGTATCCATCAGGTGGGCTGGACTAAATCAACTTTTAACACCCAAACACCCGACGCTGGTGAGGGTCTGGAACAGCAACGGTATAAAGTGCGTTCCCTAGGCAGTGGGACCTCAAAGTTTTCTTTATCAATATTGCCACTCAAAAACAATGGGCTTTTAATGAATCGTGATGGTATTTGAAATAAAACCACACACATGACAATACAGAAATATAGATACACGTACAGACAAACATACTTTTAATAAAATGTACCCTGCCTGCCGCAGTGCAGAGCTGAGTGCACTCTGCCCACCTGCACCACAATGGGATCCTCCTAAGTGAAAACTGACCTGTACCTGAAACCCCCGGGGGCTCCCATTCCAGGGGCTCCCATGGGGGGGGGGCACCCCAGCAGAGCTGAGCGGTGCTCCAAGGCCTGCTGCGTCTATTGGCTCCATCTGTCTGCGCCACTGCCCTGCTCCACTGTCCTGCTTGAGGCAGGTGGCAGGTGCAGTTTCTCCACTGCTTGTGATCTTTTGTAGCTGCTTGCCTCACTCCTTTGCCCATTCTTTTGCCTGGAATTCCTAAATCCCCTGCCCCGGGGGTACCCTGTGATCTGCAGCTCCTAGAATACCTTCTGCAACGCTAACTGGCATTATTTCCCTTAGCACAGAGCCTAGAAATCGTAGCCCTCCTCTTTAGCATTTTTGTATATTTTTTTATTGATAATTTTTGTATACCTGGTGCGATGCTAGCAAAGTTTCTGCCTCGCTTAACGTTTAAAGAATGCTTACCATTGAAACTGTTTTTGTTCTTCCAACTTAGCTCTTTGAGGTGGCATCTGAAATCACGGAGGCAAGTTTCTCCAGTATGCTGGTGCTCTCCCACGTATACATGTTACTAAGCTTTTCTATGGCTTTTTCTCATTGAAAAAATACAGAATAGTTCTGTTTTGTTAGTTCTGATATTTACTTTCATTTCCTTTTATTGTTTGAAATGTTCATTGGCTTTAGAAAAGTGTCGGCGGTGATGTAGGCATCACATCAAAACCTGAGTGTTCTAACTTTTACCTCTACCTTGCTCTGTAAACCAAAGCTCACCTCATAAATCTTCAAATCTGTAGATCCAGACTGAGTTTAAAAAAATAAGACACAATCATCTATTGTCCATGTTTCCCTTCTGAAAGGCAAAGTATCCAGCAATGTTGACACACTTCCAGAACATAGAGACAAATTCCGTGGATTGAGATCACTTAAAAGGATGGAAAAGTCAGGAAAGTTGAATTTTGAAATACAATTCTGGTTTCCACTGGTGAATGTTGTCACTTTGGGATTCGGTGGCATTGGCTGCTGGTGACGCATCACCTCCTCGTTCACAGGAAGATCTTAAATGGTGGGATGTAAAGGGACAGATGTCTGCCTGCCACACGTCACAGAATGTGGCCAAATACATCTCAATAGCTGGGCAGGGCTCAAGAGACTTCAAGTCAAATATTGATCGTTTCCAAATGACCCCCCCCCATATTAACCGCACATATGATCCCCAACAGCCCCTCTCAGGGTAGATGTTCCACCAGGATGTAAAGCATGTAAGGGTGCGAACAGCAAACCGAGAAAGGGTCACACAGAGAACCTGGAGAAATGCCATCTACCTATACAAACGCTCATTTTATCTGGCAAGTTTAGGTATGTAAATATCGGCACACGGGTTATATCATATCTTATCTCCAAACTCAAAGCCACAACAGTTCCCTTTCCTACCACTGAACATATTGGGCCAATAAAGATAATCAGTACTGAAGCAAGCACACAAATAAAGCAGCCTGAAGGCATCGCTAGATATTTCAGCTGTTGCCCACGGAAGCTGCTGCTGGTGCCCACAGCACTGGTTAGGCTAAGGCTGGTCCCCGTCACCTGCGTCTCATTTTTCTTATTTGAGTGGGGAGCTTGGGCGTTTGCTCTGTAACTCACACAGTCGGAGTGTTCCTTCCGCGAGGATGCTGTTCTTACAAGAACAGTTTATACGGTAAGGACAAGCTTTACACGCCATCACAACATGCAACATACAAGGTAGGGCTCTTTGGGTAAAAAAAGTTAGCCACAAAAATACCTTTTCTCATTACTCGAAATGTGAAGAACAAAACACTAAAATAGGTCGTCACGTCAGACTTTCTCTATAAAAGGCCCAATTATTACAGGGGTCTACAGTCACACGGAAGAAGTGTTGACCTAGGAGATGTTTAAACTCCACCTTTAATCCTAAGGTAAACTAGGCATTTAAATAATTCTGTAATGTGCAAAAGAGTCATTATTCCTTGGCTTGTCATAGCTTCTACAAAGTACTTGTCAAATGAGCCACGAGTTCGTCACACGTCACTCAGCCATGCTGAGAGAACCACATTCAGGCTTCCACGGAAAATTAAAAAACGTCCTCGGCAAAAGCTGCCATGTCCAGTGGCATCTCGGCCCCCAGCTGTGAGGCTTGAGCACTCCAGTCCGCAGTTCCTGTCTTGGGCCTGACCGCTCATGTCCTGCTTGGCGGGGGGCCTAGGTCCGAGGCCGTGAGGGCCAGCAGCCGCTTACTCAGGAGTGCGTTGTGGCGCTTCAGGTACAAAATGATGTCCCCCTGCTTCTCCACAATTTCTTCCAGACTTGAACCAGTCCTGCAAGGAACCCAAGTGTTTATGGGGTGTAGATGCCCCCACCCGCCCCACCCCCGCCCCAGCGTGCCTGAGTCTCCACAAACAAGCCCCTATGGCCTTGGCACAGCACGCTGTGTTACTGTTTCTTAGATGTTACTAAGGCCGTATTCCAAAATGAGATTCTTTCACAAATCATTTTAGGGACTTCCACTCTTGAAGAAATCTATTTTGTGAATTTCAATTTGAAATCTTAAAAACTTTCACAACTCTAATACTTAAAAAAAGGGGC